CTCTCTCTCTCTTTCTGTGTGTGTGTGTGTGTGTGTGTGTGTGTGTGTGTGTGTCTTCCTTCCACCCTCACCCCCGCGAAAAAGAACCACCTTCACCGCCTCCTCAGGATGCCATCAGTTCAGCATTACCACCTCCGCTTCCACCTTTCAAGCCGCTTCATTTCTTCACCTGTAAATTTCCAAAACAGGAAATGGAATCGTCATCAACGGTGTGCATCATCATATAGATAAACCATGGAGCATGTGTACTACTACGCACAATTATACATATTGAGGAATACGTCAAATGCGCACTTGGCAATTTAAACCACCAGTACGCTTCGCAGCTACTTTGCTCCGATGTGGCCGTATACGGGCCATGTCCTTCGGAGTCCGTCTGGTTCCATATTCCGGACTGGCACAACGATTCTCTGTTTCAAGCTGCACAGCGAGCACAGTGCAAAACTTCTTCTTCATTGACAGTTCCCATCACACCTTGATTTCGTCTTTTTATATTTCACGAAATTCACGTTGAATTGGTCGGCCCCACATAATTCAAGAGGTATTCTTATCCTTACTTGCGAATTCCGCCAAGGGTCTTAATTGTGGGGAGGAGGCCTGCCACCTAGCCCAGGCAGCGTTTTTGTTTATCGACAGGATGGAGGCCTCAGACATCCCTTGGGCAGAAGTACCTCCAGGTCTTAAGCTCAACACCCATCTTTGGGAACGGCGGGTGCAACTGCCTGAGCTACACGCCTTGTCGACTTCAARGTCCAAACATGACCAATTCAAGAGCATCTGCTGGCAACAGACCCCAAGATTTCTATCGCCTAGTGATTGTTTTTGACAAGCGCCTGCAATTCATCGCAATTTCCACAAACCTAACACACAAATGAGCAGCGCCATCCCCTTTTCGTTTGGGAAAAAAAAAGGATCCCAAGTTCCTCACAGCAGGTTGGAAAACTTGCTTTGTTGTTGGGTCTCTGAAGTTTTTGGGGTCCACTCCAGGAGGTCTGGACATGAGAGGATTTAGACCAGTGCTGGGCCGGCAACCGGCCGGTTGAGCTACCCCGGTCCAATGGGAGCCGGACCAGCCCAGGGGGGGTGAACCAGGAAACCGGTTTTGAAAAAAAAGTGCCCAAATGTCTTTTTTTTTTTTTTTTTTTTTTTTGTCAAGATTCCGACTGCACTCTTCAAGAGCTGTCCGAATCCGCAATAAAATTTTCAAGGTACAATATTTTCCAGGGGGCTTCCAGAGGAGGGGGCAGGGGTTATTATTGACATATTCAGGCAACTATGGCTTCCTCAGGGAGGGGTCAAGTAAGCAAGTTCAGTTATCCGACCCCCCCGTGGCTGGAGCACTTCGTGGAGTATGTCATTTGATATTGATACCCCACGAGCTGAACCAGATATGATGAGAGGAGGTCCTTGCCCGAAATTATAGTTCTTCCAGAGTATACTTTGACAGCAGAAAAGTTATGGTTCCAGTTTTCAGCTCGTGGAGGCAGAACGTTTTCTGTTTGTTGGTTTCTACATAAGGTGACTTGTCAGTCCGGAAGTATCTTGCCTGCCAGTCTGTCCAGATGCATGTAGTGGAGCAAGGTCCATTCCATATAGATAGAGAGAAGAATATAGCTTAGGTCCATTCTTGGGATTGCACCTCCGACGGCTCTGAAATCACGATTCCAAAATCCGAACCCATAACTTTTCCCACAGATGGCATGGACGTCGCAGAAGGATATAATCTCAGCAGAGTCTCATCAGAAGCATAGTGTTCCCCTCGTGGCTGAGGGTGACAGAGCATCAGATGTTGCCAATGGTAACTGGTCCATTGGACCACAAGATGACAAATTGGAGAAGGGGCGTACCGGACCCACATGTTAGGAAAAATGCGTGGCTACTCTCCGCTGCTGATCTGCACAGATCAGCGGCGGATATCCTCTGCCCGTTTCTCTTAAGAAATGGAATCCTGGCCGATCTTTGCCGCTGATCTCCGACGATTGGCGGCCAAGATTGGCCACTTTCTGGACTTGAAAAATCCGGGCCTACAGGACCCGGTTTCGAAATTGCGAGGCAGGGCCCGCCCCCACGAGGCCTCGGGAACACATAGGCGCCGGCAGAAAAAAAAATTCAGCCCCCAGCAAAAATGCGCTGGGGCAACCGGGAGGCAACCGGCCCGGGCCACCGGCCGGTCAACCGGGAGGACCGTGGATGGGGTAGGGGTCCCCCGTCCATCCGGGGACCAGCCCTGATTTAGACTGCTTTTCACCCACTTCTTGGAGTTGGGGGTAGGAGACATTTGTAGGTTCGGCACTGTTCTGCACCTGTAGGCCTGTGCCAGTTACCCCTGTGTACAGAAGTACTGGACGGCCGTTGTCCAGAATTTTTGCCGAGCCAGAGAACACACCCTTCTCGTCGATCAGGCGCAACAGCTATCAGAAGCTCCAACCAGTCTAGCAAATTGGAAGAAACAGCATGACCCCATTGGATGTTACCCCAAGACGCCTGTTACATACTGCATTCCACACGGGCCTTTTCAGGCCCGACGACTAGGCTGAGGGGTTCCGAGGGCCTGGACGTGATAATCCACGCCAGGCCGGCCCAAAGGCCGGACCTTTTTAGGCCGCCTTTTGGCCTTACCCAACCGGTTCTAGACCAGGCCCTGCAGCCGCAGGCCCTGGGCGGGAAATGGCCAAACGTTCTCGTTTGGACCAGGCCGCCGTTTAGGCAGCCTGCTTCCCGAGAACCGGTCCGACCTGAACCACGGATCGGACGATAGACCCGACGGTTCAGATCGGAGGCCACCTTGGGAGGCAGAGGCCGAACTGGCTGCCGGCCGGTATTTAGGCCCAGCCAACGGCCATTTCGAGGACTTCGGAGGACAGCTGCATTGAGGAACGCCCGCTGCGCTATTTCGGTTCAGCGCAGCGCTAGACAGCAGCGCTAGGTGTAGCGCTGGCTGTAGGGAGAGGAGAGAGCGAGGAGGGAGACTTACCTGACAGCAGCCACGAGCGCCATAGCTCCCAGCAGCACAGCCGTCTCCTGCAGCAGCCAAGGCACCACCTTGTACCATCAGGTAGGGCCTGGAGCTACTCGCCATCTCCGCCAATGCTCTGCCCCTCTCTTCTTCTTCTCCTTCAGACTTCTTCTTCTTCTTCTTCTTCTCCTGCTCTTCTTCAGACTTCTTCTTCTTCTTCTTCTTCTTCTTCAGACTGGAGACTTTTGATACGAGTTGGACAGAGATCAGTAATTGGACTTCGGTGGTAGGAGGATGTGATACTTACGGGATTCGAGACATTGGAGATAGTTGGGATTGATACCTGGCGGTATCACAGATCGGACATCGATTACATTAGGATTCTGTACCTCCGACAGTGGTGACTTATGTCCCCGACATTCTGATTTTGTTCGATGACATTTATCGGTGACCTTCTGGATTCTATCTCGGTGACATCTGGCGCTGTCCATATCTCCCACCTCCACCGTGTCTCCTCCCACCATTCATCTGTGTATGGTTGTACGGGGCCTGAAGCATGGTCTATGTATGGCTTCAGACCCCACCATCTCACGATTGCTTGAGGGTTGAGTGATGTTTGGGTGAGTTCAGTCTATGTGAGTCTACATGTTCATCCTATATTGGTTGATCTTTGGTTCTGCCCATACTTGGTGAAGTATTCACTAGTATGGATTGTACTGGAAAAAGAGGTGATACAGACCCCCATAGACCAATGGCCCATTTGGGTCATTCTGCCACTTCCCTCGAGGATGGGAATGGAAACTTGGATAATAATGATGACACCTCAGCACACCCACATCATAAAACCAGTTCCCCTCCTCCTACCCCAGACGCCTGATTGCCCGTATTTGCTGCAAGACGGCCAGACATGACTCTAAACCACCAGCTGGACCAGCGCTCCCTGATTCTACTAATAATCCCCTCCCTCCAAGAGTCTCATCAACACTATGTGGTGCCCCCCCATTTATCACATCAGGTGATGTCCAAGAGAGTCTGCACCTAAAGGCAAACGCACATACCCCGACCTGAACCATCAAGACAACAAGACCGATGGCAGGGACCCATACTTCGGGAAATCCCCAGCGACAACAAGGGAACGCGCCCACTCCTGCCCCTCCTCCTCCTCCTCCTCCTCCTCCTCCTTTTTCCATTCTCTCTGGAAGTACAACAAGGTGCTGCCAATAGGGCTGTTGTGGGCAGCCACCCTCCTGCAACTCCATGTCCAGCGAGGATGTATCATGCTGGTTGGCGTAACCGGTGCACCCTCCAGCAACTCCATGTCCAGCCGGGATCTATCATGCTGGTTGGGGTAACCGGTGCTTGGCGAAAAATGATGATGTGCCAAAAGTTGTTCTCCGTCACTGCTGCTTGATGAGCCGGCTTCCCGCAACAGGATTCATGACAGATGACAGGCCAGCACTAGATAGGCGTAAAGGGGGTTAAGGGTCCAGGTTCCAGTGGTTACTTATCCGAGCCACTTTTCACCCGGACCTGCAGACCAAGCACATCCGACGGTGGTCAGCAAGCGTGCAACTGCAATATCACCACAGCCTGACCTGCAGACCAAGTGCATCCGACGGACAGCCATCGGCCTCACCTGCAGATTACGCACATCCGACGCAGCGAGTGAACCCAACTCCAAAAAACTATAACAACGGCTGCACCCTACAGAAATGGCAGCCCACCTCCTGAGAGACACGGACTCCCCAACTCCCACAAGACCAACGACTTGGGGGGTCGCCAACATTACGACAGCCAACAGCTGGTCCTCAGAGCCTGGTTGCCGTGGACTCTGCAGAAGCACACTAGGCAAAGGAATACTCGTCCATAGTCAGACATATGAAACAAGTAGGTGACCTCACTACCAAACGAAATACTACAGCTTTTCCGCCATATATAGAAAAGA